TCTAGTGAGAATGTGTTGTTGTGCAGAGACACTTGACCACAGTTGACCCATTACAGTGGCTTGTCACTGGCACCATAAATATGTTCTGCCTCCTTACACTGTGAGTAAGAAATCTTTTCATTGTGGAGAAAGTTCAGACTGGATTCTGGTTCTGTGCTGAAAAAGGCCATGCAATAATTCGTGTTAAACAATCGAGGCGATTTCCCCCTTTGGTTATGGAAGTCAATTAAAATGCATGTTTACTGATTTTTTGATTGTGAGTATTTAAATACGGATTAATTCCGCAATCTCACAGATTCATATATTTTTTCGAAAATTTTGGATTGACTAGCACTTGTTAACTTAATCGGAATTCATTGAGATGTGTTAACAGTATTTACAATTCCTTCGAAGTGATGATTGAGGCGTAGTTATTTTTGCAGCCAGTGTGCAGTCTAGATATACATGGCAATCTTGATTTGAACCTTTCGTAACTGCAGGAATCCATACTCTTTGGTTCTTTCGGTAAAGTCACGTAGGTAGAAATGTTTTATTTTATTTCTAACTACGTGACTTTACCGTAAGAACCAAAGAGTATACATGGCAATATCAGGTGCTTCTTTCAAAGGTTAACATTTGCCTTCTCTACTCCCAACTGTTAAAACTAATCAAATGTCGCTTTTAAAGAATTGGTTTTAATGGATTTTCTACGAGCCATGTAACGATTCTTCCACTGCCTGCCCCCCCCTCCACCATGCAATTTGATGACTTGTCACGATTAGGGGTAACGATTAGATTAAAGAATGGATTTTCTTTTGACCATTGTGGTGAATGTAGAGCCTTTAGTGGCTGCAATTGTGTACCTCCCACAGTTGGCTACATACATGATGAAAGAAGTATCAACATAAATGCATGCAATGTGTAATGATAAAATAATAGATTATTTAACCACACAACTGTATGTAATGTAAATATCTTGTTTTATTTGCTGATCAATGCATGATTAAATGCCTAATTTTTATTAACTTAGTTTCCACAATCAGCTTATTATATACTGCCAAAGCTGATTTCAAGATGTGCGAACTCCAATTAAAACTGTCAGACACGTAACCTTTCAGTACCATGGAAGTGATTATTCTTTTTTCACTCATTCACCCCAGGGGTATAAACCGAGCTTCTAATAAGCGTTGGTTGTTTACATTGGCATAGGCATTAGCTCCTCGAGCTACCCATTCATGACCTTGTTTGCCCTGGCACAAATGGCCCGAGGGCCAATACAAGGTAGCCATGCATTAAGCCACATTTATGAGTAGCCATAGTCAGATTATCAATTGCCTGCTTCCTTGGACCTGTGTATATCACTACTGGACTTAATATTTGTTGGAGCCATTCAACATTGTGTAGATATATCGATAGCTGCATTGTGCTTGCCTCCTGCCTTTATTAAATTTGTTCACAATTTTCTTCCATCAATGAGTTCACTTCGCTAATAACAAAAAGCATCCTCTCCTTTCTGGACAAAAGACTACTCACCCAAGATTATAAATTAGCCACGACTGCGTCATACAAACCAACAGACTCACGCTCCCACCTCCCCTACGCACCATTGCACCCTGCCCCACACCAACTCGGAAATACAATTTTCACTATTTCACCACCTCCATCACTTGTGCAGCAACATTGGAGATTTCAATGACAAAGCCAATGAGATGAAAATGATTAATACCCTGAAGAGTTAGTCGACAGCCTACCAACATGCCCATTTGGTGGACCGTGCAGCAAACATACGAGTCACCTGAAAGATAGAGCAAAGTGCGAGTTGTCCTGACATGTCACCCTTCAAACCTGGCTATCAAATAGATTATCCTTAACAATTTTAACATTATCAGGAGCAACACAATTATTGTTTCGATTTTAAGCTTTCGTGACTGCAGGAATTCATATGCTTGGTTCTTTCGGTAAAGTCACGTCGAAGGGAAATAATACAAATAAAACATGATAAAATTCTCACGAGGTTTCGGCCACAACGCAAGCAGCCGCCCTCAGGTGAAGAACAGAGCTGTCCGAAAGACAGCGTCCTAATGAACACTGCTAAGCTTGGCAGCGCATTTTAAGCTGGGTGGGAGGAGGAGAGCGCCTTGACAAAGGAGTTTACATTGCCAACATTTTTAAGGAACTACCTCTATGTGCATTCTGCAGGAAAACACTTCGGGGACCTGCTAGTACACAGTTCAATGCAAAAAAAAAATGCTATATTAAAAACGTAACGCCCTCACCAACGACCACTACCTCCTTAAGATAAAAAGTAAATATCTATGTATGATCGGCGACTTTTCAGGCAATGGCCCCTTCATATTACATCAAATAATTTCCGAAGCTCGCAGTAATAGATCCCAGGCACCGGTCCAATGCAATCGAAGATGATGCAACATCAACTAATACATAGATAAAAACACCCGGAGCATATTCTATATGCACATCCACTAATATGGTTTAATACATTACGTGCAAACATTGTGGCCTCCACTACATTGGATTAACTAGTAAACGCTATCGGTGATAGTTTTGTTCTACATCTTCTGTCAACTCGCCGTACAGATATGTCCAAACCAGTGGGTCGTCACTTCAACAGTGAGAACCAACAGCTTCAGTGACATGTCGATGCGTAGCCTTGTCTCGATCTCTGGTGGAAATTTGACCAGAAAAAGGACAGAAGGCTACCTCATGTTTAAACTGAATATGCTTCAGCAGGCAGAACTGAAAGAAATCTCACCTTCACGAAATACGAAACTTTATTTTTGAGTGCTCGACAAACCTTATCCCTGTTTCGTTTAATTGTATTTGTTTTAGTTTCATAGTTTTGTTTACCTTTCTTCCTAGAGACTTCTCTGCCTCAGAGGTGTGTGGCATTTTTTAGAAATGGTGATTCGGGGCCCATAAAGTCACTGCCAGGGGGATTTGCCCCTTGTTTGTACTCGCAAGAACAAATCGTCACCCAGTGTAGTCAGCAGAATTGTTTAATTTCGCTGTTAAAGTAAATCCGTTTACATTAGTAATACTTGAGATGTTTGGAGGATTTGTCTGGTACCCAATATCTGCTGATTTATAATTATAGTAGTTTATTTTGGGTTAGATCGTGTCAGTATAATGCCAATGTTTTACTTCAACCCTCCACCATCCAACTGAGCCAATAAAATCAAGTTGTCATGTGGGCATATATGCCAATTGATTTACTTTCTCAGCAAAACTGCAAAAAGTTGAAGAGCAAATCAATACTTGACAATTATCTACATGACGTTTTGCTAGAGGTTACGTTGTGTTAACAAAACCTCCACTCTCACGTGAAAGAGCTTCCTGATCGGCAGCTCGTGCATCAGATCTTATTTATTCATGATGTACTTACAAAAAAATCAGCAGACTACCTGCTGGATCTCCTCAATGTTTAGAAGAACAAATGTGGCCTAAGGTTTTCGCTCATTTACCAGCATCACATTCTTTATTGCCGTACAAATACTGGAGGGAAGGTCCTTTTCTGTTGATGCCTCCAGGGTCTGGAATGCTATCGCCAATAAACTGAACTTGGATCATTACCTGTGAGATCTGCACTCAAAACTGCTCTTGAGGAGCTGTACACCCCCTGCTGCCACTGCTATGCAGAGTGGCCTGAAATCAAATGCACCGCTCCGGATATCTGCTGCAAAGTATGATCTTGAGTTTTGATTATAGTGTGCTGATCTTTAAAGGTGCATTGAAAATGTTTGATACTGCTACTGATACTCCTGCTGTTGTGGAGTGACTCATGCTGCCAGCTGTGGCTGCAAAGTTTGGTCGTACATGTTATTATATCGTTTATTGTTACATTGGAATCACAGTTCCTATGATCACTGTTACATTGGTTTTTTTGCTTTATATTGGTGATTTCGAAAACGTATGGTAAAGCCATGTTTGTTGAAGTACGGAGTTAGCCTAAGTACTTTATCTAAATTGTCTTATGGTTACTCATTGGTTTTTTCGGTAAAGTATTTCTACATACGTGACTTTACCGAAAAAACCCATGAGTATTCTTATGCAGTCACGAAAGCTTTAATACTTTATTGTCTTATGGTTGTTATTTGTTAGACTTGCATCCCATTGGGATTTTTGCACACAGCGTTGATATGCGGTGCTTTTTTTCAAGAAGATTTTACTGTTTTTTCCTGGATGTTTCTGTTGCGCGTGGTCACTTTAAGATGTTTTCATGTTTTTGTTTGTTGCGGTTGCACCCGAGTCAAGAGCCTCATAGCTCACAGGGCTACACTATCTATTAAATGAAATGAAACTGAAACTACATCTGGTCGGGCCATGACGTCATTGGCACAATAACGCATGTTTTCCAGTTTAACAAATAGAGTGTATTGCCATGTTAATTGCTTGTGAATGGCAGATTAGATTCGTGTAATAGGATGAAACGGTTTAGTGTTGGTGAAAAATAGGATATCCTTAATTAAATCAAGGTGTATCGTTTTGGTGATGAAGCTGGAGTTTTGACGCGATTGTGATTCTGTTGATTAGCACTATGATGATTTAGTGATACAGGTTGATTGAATATGTTGTTGGTGTTACATTGATATAATACATTCTCAATTAAGTATAAATGAATAGATGAGAACTATATTTTTTTTAATGCAGTGCCGTTGACTAATGTAATTTTTGTTTTTGAAACATTGTGCAGTGTTTTAGAAGCTGACTTTGTGCACCATTTTAATTACAGTAAAACCTTGGATTGTGAGCATAATTCGTTCCGGAAACGTTTGTAATCCAAAGCACTCGTATATCAAAGCACTCGTATCAGTTGTGATCACGTGACGCTCGGCAGACAAAGCGTGTATGTACTACTCGTATTGCACGACCTCGCTCGTTTATCAAATTAATATTTATTTTACATTTTTTGCTCGTCTTGCAAAACACTCGCAGACCAAGTTACTCGCAATCTAAGGTTTTACTGTATTTATCTCTGCGTGTGTGCATGCGTGCGTGTGCAGGTGGTTTTTCAGCAAAGCATGGTGGAGTCCCTCATGCACAGCCCAGGAGAATTCATCCTCCTAAGTGCTGACAAGTACGAAATCAAGGTAATGGCAATTTCTGATTGTCGTCTGTTCCGGTTTGTGCCCTGCTACACCGGTTCTCTCCTGCAGTCTGTTGTTGTTTGCCGCGGTTTGTAGATTACGGTTGTAAAGGGATATTGTTTGTGCTTCAACGCTGTCAGATGTCTTGTAATTGCACTGTTATTCTGGGAAATTAAAGTAGAATGCTTTAATCATTAAGTGTGCACAGTTATTTTCTATTTGCCCTACTTGGAAATGAATGCACATGTGATTAGTTACTTGTTTTTATTTGCATTTGTATGTGTTGTCCATGCTATCCGCTAAATTGAAATGTCTCATTAGGTAATCCATAAGAAATGAGAAAAACGTTAAATGAAAAGGAAATTATAGTTATTTTTCCTCTATCTTTGCTCCTTGATTGTCACTAATTGTACATTCAAATTAAATATAATGAATGCTTTATAAATATAAATTACCTGTAAGAAATTGATGGCTTTTAAGCCTAAAATTTGTTATAGGACTTTTAAGACATGGCCTCAGAAATACTGGGTCTCACTTTCCAGAGACACGTGAAATATAAACCTCATCAGTCTAAGGAAAATTGTTTCTCTTTACATGAAGAGACACATTTATGAAGGAGACATTGTATGTGTATCTATGGTTGCACTTATCCATTAAAGAACAAATTGGGACGGTTCAAGAGAGCTGATGTCAAGATAGTTCCAGTGGCCATTACTTTTCCCATTTGAGACGCTTAAGTCTGACGAGGGAGGGGGGGTTGGTGCAGGTGATGTCAAAAATGAAAATGCCATGTCTACATGACAGGACTATGAACAGGTGACTAACAGATCTCGAAATGCAAAAGGTGCCCTGCTATTTTGGGCTCCCATACACGATTACTGACAGAAAAATAGAATTCACCGGATACTGCTAAACAAAAAATTATTCTATTGTTACTTTCTATATTTAATGGCTAAACGTTGTATCGATTGCGCCTTGCAATTTTATTTAAGTCATGCTTTGCCTGGAACGTCTGCCTCAGCTGTGCCTTTGCAGATGCCACTTGTGCAGGGAGTGGCCTTGCAATGTCCCCTTGCCTGTGCCATTCCTACAGTGACACTTGTTCCCAGTCAAACATTCAGAGCTTGTGTATCACTGGGTAATATTAGCTAAGTAGACTCACTGGGGTAAATCTTTAGAAGCACATTTTTTTTTTATTGAACTGAACCCTTGGTGAGGACATCTCTATGTAAACATTTATAAAAAAAACAGTGGCATGTAAAAGGTAAATCACAACACTATATTGGCATTGTTTATGACGAAGCTTGTTTGGTAAACGTTGCTACCGCTTCACTACCATGAGCAACAATTCAGCTCTTGGATACATCATTTGACAGCTGTTGGCTTCATATGATGGAAAACGAACCAGGCACAATATAAAATAGTGCTCTTAGTAGCATGTGCCATCAATTCCAAATGTTTTGAGTTCTTTTCCACCACTTAAGTTTTGGGGCAAGAGACAATAAAAGCTGGCAGTGATTAATGATGGTTTACATTCAATGTAATTCCAGTGTCATGCGGTGACGGAAGAATGCATTAATTATCGGCTTTGGCTTGTTTATGGTCCACTTAGTTTTGTAGTGAATGCAAAGTTGGGCATTATATGTAACAAAAAAAACCCCAACACATTGATCAATAATGCTGCCTTAAAAGGAAACATAAAATAGGTGGTGACGTTTTGGGCAATGGCTCGGCTTCACATCGCATTGTATCTTTATTATTCTGCTCAGAGAGTGAGCATTACAAACATGACATTGGCATTCTGTACCTATGTCAGGACTAAACCTCTTTTTATTTAGCCATTAGCACTAATAGAAAGCAGTATAAAACAACAATTACAAGAGCTCTAGTGGCATCAGTGCGCATACTCTTAAATTGGTGCTGACGGTGATGTGTGAAAGTGCACTGGAGAGCTGTACCAATGCTTCACTGCGTTTTCCTATTTCTAGGTAAGTTGTTTCTGTGGGTTCACCAATATATATATATTTTTTACGTTGACTTTGTTGGAGTGAATGTACCCCTATCAGAGGTAAATTCAGGAAAAACAATGTCTGGTTATAATGCTTTAGACGCTATTATTTGAATTAATCCATTTTAGTCTTGTATGTGAGGATAGAATCTTAGAATTTTAAAGATGTTCTCTTATTACTGTAAAAGAAGCTGCGTGCTAAATTGTGTCTGCTATTCCTGCTGCTGCCCATACACGTAGCAGTTGAATGTTCACAATGACCTTGGCAATGCAAAGCAGCTCGCACAGAAGTGAGCTGTGCAGTTAGCAGAGACATTGGGTGACATGAATATTTTTAACGAGTAAAAAAAAAAGGAAAATGACCCAAAAATGTTAAATCAAAAAAATTCAAGGCCAACCCCACAAAATGGGTTTTTTGTCAAATACTTGACCTAATACATTTTTTTCTGTAATGCTACAATTATTTTATACTGTTAGCTAAACTAGTTTTGCCCTGTAATTTGATGACTCATTTTAGATTTTGAATTAATATGTGCTGCGTATTTATTAATATGAGGAGCATTGAAAACATGCAGAGAAGTTGTCTATTTTGTTCAGCTCTTCAGGATAACATTTAGGGTATACATCAAAATGTAATGTGCAGAAAAGCTCTCTTTATTCCGCATTAAATAGCTTTGTCTCCTGTTGGGAAATGGAAGCCTATTGAGGTAGTACCAGAAATAGTTCTACAATGTCTTTTTCCAGGGCTGTTCCTTGACATGATTGAGGGGGTATACTTATGAAGGGTTCTGAGATTTATTTCTCCATTTTGTCCCTGTATTGTCGTTGTGTAATTGGTGAGTAGGTTCATCATTTGTATCATAATTGGGTCGAAATCCTTGTAGTTGGTGAAATAAATATTACTGTTTATAGTACAGGTGTTATAATTATAATGTTCACATGTGAACTGCAAGGTCTAATGACCGTATCATATCTTTTTGGAGTCCAAAGGTTGTAAACATGCTCCATTCAGCTGTGATGAAGGGCACACTGAGTTATAACGCTGGTATCATCAAAACCCTGGGAGTCCTGCTGATTTTAATGCCAGACATTTAAATACAATGTTTCCCATGTGACCTGGGTTATTGAAATTTGAATTGTGGGCTGTACCACTATTATTGTTTGTAAGCAGACGCCTGTATAAACATTGTAGGGAAACAGTTTTCACTTTAAAGCTGTCATGCACGGCAATATTTATTTATTTCCATTGTTTATGGTATAATTTATGGACTTGTAAATGCAATGTTCCTTTTAACAACCCATAATTAATTATTTGCTGATGGTCATAATACTTTGAGGTGCAACATCCCATCTTGGACGATGGTCCTGAGGCTACTATAGCATCACATTTGCATTAACAGGTGGCAACAATGAATAGCAAGACTGCAGAAAGTATTTTAGCTCGTAACTATGTTCAAATACAATCTTATGCTATCCTACATATGGTATATTTTGGTTTAGACTAAAGAGATATTTCCCATGCAATAATTGGAGTTTATATATTTTCATTTCTTAAAGAACATCTTGAAAATACTGTAAAATAAAAGTACAATTGCATATTATTGGTTCTTTCGGTAAAGTCACGTAGAAAGGAAACAATAAAATAATAAAAATATAAAACAATTACATAGCCAAATGCAGTCATGTTACCTTCAGGATCGACTTATTCATGCCCTTATGTTATCAACGGACGAGCTTTTCACACCAGATTCGCATCTTTGCGAAGCCATTTGCGGAGCTGGTGGAGGAGGAGAAAATTAGAGGTAGGGCATTGCACTCTGGGGAAGTACACGCTGTTATTACCTCCCACCTGGCATCGCCACAATTTATTGCACTGCTAGCCCCACTGTGAAGGTCGGCTCGCAAAAAAAGCCCAATCTCCCATCGGCAGGAGATTTTATCAAGTGCTGCATGTGGTGTTGATGCGACCCAAATAGATTTTGCACGATTCGGCAGCAAACTTTATGAATTCATCCGTGGTTTGTCAGAAGATCAATAACACATTCCCGATTAAACTGATTTACTGAAAAAATAAAAGGTCCCAAATAATAATACACTTGCCTCTTTGACTGTGGCAGGAGGAGCAATGATAATATAAGCTGCATTGTTTTGAAGCAATACGGTCTTGCGAAAATGATTTGGGTGCAAAATGTTCGTGTTGTTATTGGAGAAATTCATTTCGATTTGCCCTTTTTTACTTGCCCTGGGTTAAGTTCATAGAGTAGGAATCTGGTTTCATAAAATACAATTAACCCATTCTGACAAATGGTTTTATAATGGAATGGGGCAACATGGTCTTATTATGCCATAATTTGACATTAGCACAAATGTAAGTTATATAAGCTGCAAAAGTTAATGTTTATAGAAGACGATGAGTAAAAATAAAGTATTGAAATATGAGATGGCTGTATGATTAATGTTTTTACATTAAAATTCAAGGCTTTGATTTGCACAATCTGTTATGGTATTAAGTGCAATGGAAGTAGAGAATTTGTATTCCAAACATGTTATATCTTTAAGCCTTGGAGACATTTCTATTACCAAAGATAATTATAAGAAAATTTGCTGTACTTTACAAGTCAGTAGTCTTTGCTCTTGATATTCATACATTATTTTTTTTTAAATCTTGCCTTTAAGCTGATCTGTAAAATGATATCCCATTGACTGGTTTGTCTGCATAAGATGTTCATTCTTATTTTGGATGTATCTTTTTCCGCAGAGAATAGAAAGGCTTGCTTTATAACCTGTGTGTTATGTGCAGGAAGTATTTACACGGTAATTGGATATTTTAAGTGCTGGAAAGTTTCAAAGGGACACTCAAGGAGCAGCGATGTTAAGGTCTCCAATCCGTCTAAATATAACGATTTTTATTTAACAAATTTCATCTTCACTTTAACTCCTACATATTACATCCATTAAAGTAGGCTAAATATTATTATTCTCCCTTATAGCAGCA